TAGGTCATTTATGCACGTTTGGAAGACGAGACATTGTCCAAACTATTGTCCGAGCCATTATCCATGTTCTCAATTCCGAGTCATTCCTAGGCGAGCCATCTGAGCCACCATTTAAGCCATTCCGAGGCGAGTTATTTGAACCATTTGATCGACCATCTGAGCTACCGAGAGAAAGAGAGAGCCATTTTGAGATCATTCCGGGCCATTGCCATGATGCGGGCACTCACTGCTAGACTGGGTTCGCGAGCGCCCGAGCGAGCCATTATAGGATGCGAGCACTCGCCGCGAAATCCAGTTTGCGAGCACCCGAGAGAGCCATTAGAGGATGCGAGCACTCCCCGCGAACCTCACATCGTGACTGCGCGAGAAGACCTGAGAGCAGTCGGGCACTCGCTGTGAGATTCATCTCGCGAGCACGCGGGTCTGGTCCAAGACAACCGCACACTAGCAGCGAAGCCAGGTTCGCGAGCGCCCGAGAGCCAGCGCCATCGAAGCAGCGGCAGCCCTCAGCATCTACACTCGCTCTGATATTTACCTCGCGAGCGCGCGAGTCTATGTCTGCCCACAACAAGAACTTGATGTGAACTTCATCTCGCGAGCGTGCGAGTCAGCGTGTGAGAGAGCATGAGTACGCACTCGCTGCGAGAAGGGGTTCGCAACCGCGCCAAGGCCGACCCGAGACAGCCCTTCCCTCCAGTGAATGAGCGTTCGCGCCCACGCGAGTTCCATTTCTAAGACCAGGTCGTGCACTCGCAGCGAACGATTGTTCGCGACCGTGCCAACACTGACCTGAGGCAATCCACACCCCTCACACTCGCTGCAAAATCGGTTTCGAGACCCGGCGAGTTCAAGCTTCATTAAATGTGTGTGTGAGAAGTGTATGTTTTTTAGTAGGACTATAAATACATTTGCTCCCCCTTGTGAGGGAGCACCTAACACTCATTTTTATGTTTTCCTCTTTTGAATATTGTTCTTTCTTTTCATTTCTCTTTTGGAGGCTTGAACCGTACTTTTCCAGTGACATTTTCTTGTGATGCTTTTATTATGCAAGTTTCAATCTTTTTTCGTCTACTTTGTTCTAGCATGCATTGTGGACGTAAGTACCTAGATTTAGGGCTTGTTATTTTTGCACTACTTTACTTAGTTGTTTGTAGAGGTAATTTAGGATCTCGTTCGTTGTTAGCGTATTTTGAACGTTCTAGTTTATTTTGTTGTCTTATCTTTTGTTGGGCTCATCCAGTGTGTTTGGGTAATTTAAAGTTCGAACCTTTACAAGAAAAGTCGAGACTTTGTCATTAGAGCTCTGTAATTTCGCAGTAAATCTTTCGACTTAGATCCTAGGTGTGTTAGTTGTAGTTCGTTTATCTTATTTTCGCCTTTTTATTTGGTTTCGAGCACTCCAGTTTAGTAAAGCTTAAGTCTTTAATTGAATTTTGCATCTTTAATTAATTGCTTTTCATTCCTTAGTCAATTAATCATTTTTATATACAGCATCAATTTTAATTCACTATTCATACACTCACATAATTTTAACTAACCATCATTTCAAATACACATAATATTAATTGTTGTAAAATGGAAGAGTTGATAGGACCAATCATTTATCTCATACTTTTACATCAAATCAACTTTAATTATTCTATTTTAAATATTATTTTAATATACCCACTAACAACTAATCATACCACCTTTTTCAAAATTAACCAAACCAGACCAGAATATCCAAAAATATCCAAAAATTTTTATATCCAAACATCCCCTTAGGATTTTATTTGCTCAAGTCCGGATAAAACTAACTTAACAGTCGTCAGTCTTTCGCTGGATTCATGCTCGTATTTCACTGGAGTTCTTCACGGCCGGAGATTATTGCCGTAGTACCTGCAGAAAAAGGGAGAAAATCAGTGGGGAGAAAGAGGAAGTGAAGAAAGAAAATAAGAAAATAAAAATAAAAAAATATTAGACACTGATATCTTTCCAATCACGCCCTTAGCATCTCTAGCATTTCAGTTGGGTTGCGCGTATTCATTCATGATTTTTGCGTGATCGTTATTTGCGGTGGCGTTTGGTGAATGCAAAAGCGGAGGCCTCGGCTCTTGCTCAGAAGAAGGAAGTTCTCGTTCGACGCGTTTAGTTGATAAAATTTGTGCCAATTGTCAGCTTATTCCGTTTAGTTTTCATTGTATTTATAATGTACGACGCCTTTTTTTTTTTATCTTTTTGAGTTTTGTGTTACAATTGAACTTGTCCTAGAGCATGGGTAAACTCGTGTTAATATCAAATATTATAATTCATAATAGTTATGCTCTTTTTCCTTTCTTTATCAGATGAAGTTTCATTCACTCGGTACAAAACGTGAGAAAGAAATGCAGATCGAGAACTTGCAGTGTTGAGAGGAACGAATACTTTGACAACAATTGTCTAAAAGCCTAGGTAAAGACTCCTTCTTTGACCCTTATCAAGAACTTGTAGCGAGTTTCGAACACGTTTATCCTTTGCATCTTGTTTTTCAAAAAGTGCAATATAGCGGTAAATAGCAAAACTTAAAGGGATAATTATAAAATCTCAACAAAAAGGGATCATCAAGATTCAAGCAAACCACAAAACTGGATAACAATTAAGAAGTGCAGGTTGTCATAGGCAGTGGCGGACCTCCACGCGCCCCTGTAGAATTTTTTTGTAATACATAGTATATATATATATATACATATATATATATATAGAGGATGTGGTTCAAATGAGAAACAAGTTCTAGCGTGAGAACCGCTATTTATAGTTGCAAGTAGTGCTATGATTTATTGTGTTTTAATGTTATTTTTAACATTGATTTATTTTCTTAAAAATAGCAACACAATTTATAATAATATTTGTGAAAATGATAGCACCATGTGATATTAAAAATAGCATCATACACAATAAAAACTAGCATCAAATACGGTTCTCACGGTTCTCACACCAGGACTAGTTTTTATTTGAACCACTCCCTATATATATATATATATATATGTTATATGTATAAATGTATTATTATATTGACATAAAAAAAATACATGTTATTAATTATCATGCAAAATTATTTCAATATAAAAGAATAAAAAGGAAAAGTTTAGAATTATTTAATATTCAATAGTATGTTATTTTTTTAAGTTGTGGAATTTATACTTGTGATATACTCAACTCTTGTTTATTTCCTTTTTCCTTCTAAAATACACAAAAAAACAATATTATACATAAATGTATATACTACATTGGGATTGGATCACATGTGTCCCTATTCATAAAATGAGAATGTGATACTCAACCCTAGCTATTAAATAAGAAACAAGGTATCTGGTCAAGATTTATATTTTTATTTTTTTAATTGCTTAAATATTGATTTGACCGTCGACCTACGACGTTCAACGTTAACCGTAGTTGTGCCCCCGTTGTCCTTAAAGTCTGCATCCACCCCTAGTTATAGGTTTCAGTCTGGTCATGTTATCCATCAAATTTAATCATGACGTGCCGGCCGGGCCCTGAATCAGCCCAAAACCTAAGTACATGTCGGGTCGGGCCGGATTTGGGTCGGCAGGCCAAGTGACCCATGGCTATGTCTAGATAAGATGAATAGCATTTTTGCAAAAAAATTGCTTATTTCCTTTTGTTCAAATTTTCAACAAAAAAAAGAAAGAAAAAAATCAACAATGTCTATAAATGGCAACAAGATCAAACCCAATCCACAAAACCGTTTCTATTCAGGGACGTTGCTTTTCCTCATCATGGCAATGGATACACAGACAGAGTCAACGTCCTTTTTATGGCAATGGATATAAACAGTGTCAACTTAACACAAATGCAGTCTATACACTCTGAAGTCTGAACTCCCCAAACTTATTTAATACTACTTCCACAATTTACACACACAAACCATAACAAAAATAACATAAAAAGAGGAGGA